ATGAACTAAAATTTTCATGCATTGCTGGTGGAGATGTTAAATGATACAATGACTTTGGAAAACAGTTTAGCAGGTTTTTTAAAAGTTAAAAGTACACCTACCATGTGAATCTACCGTTCCACGCTTGTGTATTTTCCCAAGAGAAAAAAAAGCATACGTCTATACAAAGACTCATGCATGAATATTCATAGAAGTCTTATTTTTCAGAGCCTAAACCTGGAAATAATCTAAATGTCAGTCAACAGACAAAGGATTGTCTTAGTCTGTTGTGTGCTGCTCTAAAAGAATATCTGAGGCTGGGTAATTTGAAAAGAAAAGAGGTTTATTTGGCTCATGAATCCGTAGGCTGTACAAGAAGCATGGTGTCAGCATCTGCTTGGTTTCTGGAGGATCTCAGACTGCTTCCACTAATGGTGGAAGGAGCAGGAATGTGCAGATATCACAGGGTGACAGAGGAAGCAAGGAGACAACGCAGGGAGGTGCCAGACTCCTTTTAACAATCAGCTTATTGAGAACTCACCCCCAAGGGAGGAGGATGTTAATCTATGCATGAGGGATCCACCCCCATGACCCAAACACCTCCCATTAGAACTCCCTCTAACACTGGAGATCAAAGTTCAACATGAGATTTGATGGGGACAAACAAACCATATCCAATCTGTAGAAGGGATAGACAAATTGGTACCTCCAATACAATGGGAAATTATTCTGCAATAATAATGAGTTATCGATGTACACTACAACATAGATAAATTTCAAAATTATTTTTCTAAGTGAAAGGAACCAGTAAAAAAGGGTACATTTTGTACCCATTCTGTATGTCTCCGTTTATAAAAATCTCCAGGAAATGCTTGAGGGGTGTGGGCAGGTAGGGAGAGGCAGGTGCGGGAATTCCTAAGGCGCATGAGTAACTTTTGAGGATAATGAGCCTGATTGTGGTGGTAGCTTCACATGGTATCAAAACTCATCAACTTGTATACTTTAAATGTGTCAATTATGTCTTAGTAAAGCTGAAAGAGAGAGAAAGAAAGGAGACGCAAAACAAAAAGTTTTGAGATGTAATTTCTTACCTATTAGAGTGGTAAAAAAATTAACCTTTTTCCCAGAACAGCAACAAATGTTTATTTAAATATAGATACACATACAATTCTATATTGTTCTCATCTTAACAATAGTGATATCTCCTTTAAATCACTTATTTAAAACACAAATGACATATTTATAACCTTGATTCATTAACAATTTGAAAGTTTGTTCATCAAAGGAAAGAATCTTTTGAAAGTCATCTTAGAATGTTAAAATTTATAGATACCAGAAATATGGCCAACTGTATGTTCCCAGCAAAACTAATAGCATATTACACTAAGTATTAAAAGAAGAACAGAATTTATATAATTTGACACAACTAAGACACTGCTTGCTTTCTCCAACTTATCAAATATAACATCTTTTAGCTACTTTAAGGTAACTTTGTAAAACTGACTTTTTATATAGTGGGCTATGATTTGATCTTACCAATTAAAAACCAGAAAGTTCTTTCATTATCTTTGGCACTTAAAATCGTGATTCTTTAATAAAGTCATCACTAAATTACAACTTGAAAGTTAAAGGGCTTATGGGATTTTATAATAAGCCTAGTTTTGCACACTGAGTAAAATACTTCATATATATTCTAGAGCTAATGAAGTCACACCCATAGTCTTTTAGATGTGCCACTCCACATAACCAATGACATTATATGTTTTACATTGCTCATTTCTATGCATCTAGATTCTCAGAAATAGTTCAGAGGGAGCGGTCCTGATCCTATTTAGGCCAACCCATCTTGCAATAGAATTATTATTTCCTAAACAGTTTCAAATAAGATAATTTATATGCACTAGCTATTCTGTCAGAAGATGTTAAAATGCAGCAAAAGCAATAAACAACATTCAAATTCTCCAGCAGGCCCAAGGTATAGATAGGGTTGAGATAAATGGGGACTACCTGGCACCTGAGAGTGAATTTAAGTAAAGTCTTACTAGATTATCCCATCAGGTTCCTGTGACAAAGTAAACACATATTCTTTGATCACTTAACATCCGGAGCTCCTTGAATCTCCCCAAATCTCAATTTCTAAACTGGTAATAATAATAATAGGAAGAAAATTATCAATATAATAATGATGATGCCAGACACCACCCTCATGTGCTGCTCTACAGATTCAGAGGGACAGGGAATTTCAACCACCTGCTACTATGCCTGGAGCTCAGTCTGTTTGTTTTATTTCAAATGATATAGATTAAGAGTCATTTTGATGTCTGAAATTTTGTCCCAGAGATTAGTAGAGCCCAGTCCTTTCTCTAGGAATGCACAATTTACCAACAGAGTTCAAAAGTCAAAGTAGATTCAGAGAATGGTGCAGTAAAGGCAAATAAAGAACCACCAAGACACAAAGGCAGAGAGCGCGGGGTTAATTCTGCTTGGTGGTCAAGAAATCTTCAAAGACTTGAGAAGATTTTCTCATCTCTGTCTTCTCAACCAAAACTAAAAGCAATTATTTAAAAGAGGCAACTGAGATCCACCACCTGCAATTTGGTTCCTCACGGTTCACAGCAGAATTCATTCTGCTGAGTTCTGTGCTCTGTGAGTTCCACGACTTAAAAGAGACTGTGTTGTGAAGGGAGGCAGCAGTAATCATGGATATCACTATCACCTTGAGGTCTCTAATCCCAACTCCCTCCAGCTAAATGTATTTCTTTAGAAATATTAAAAAAAAAAATCAGAAACTGAAGAAGAACCAGTTCCTTCAAGCCCCAGGGATCCCAACCTTGCCAAATGTAAATTAGAAGAGGATGGATTTGGAACTCCAGGAAGCTAATTGGAGCCCTGGGTAGAAATCCTAAAGGTAGTAGGTAATTGGCACCTTGTCCTTTTCAGTGTAGATACTGCCCACGAGAGGGTTACCTCTAGGGTGCTGGTTGATTAGCATCCTTAAAAGACAGGGCAGTTAAGTAAAGATTGGTGACCTGAAGAGTCCCATGTACCCAATTCAAGGGTCCCCACCAACCAGAGAAAAACTGTTTTCATATGGTCCAGTGAGGGACACTCTTTGGGCAACAGTATCATAAACAGCTCCATTAAATGAAGCAAAACTTCATTATCAGGTTTTCTTGCTTAAAAAAAGCAACATAAGATTAAATTATCACTAGAGTTAGAAAATACATTTTTAATTGAAACCAAACTAATTTGATTTGCCTTTGGCTAATATTTATTCAAGAGAAACTCTCTTTCTGAAAATTATTATACATTTGAGAGCTATGTCCAGTTTGTTTAGGACCAGGTAAAATGAACTACACTGAGAAGAGAGATGTTAACATTTTATGATCAAAAATAATTGCACAGAAGTGAGATTCTAGATATTTAACTCACAAGAGAATCAATTGTTCTTAACTGGTGATAAAGTTTGGACCTGTGTCCCTGTTCAAATCTCATGTTGAATTATAATTTCCAATGTTGGAGGAAGAGGCCTGGTGGAAGCTGATCATGGAGGCAGTTTCTTGTGAATGGTTTAGTATCATCCCCTTGGTGCCTTGGTGCTGTTCTCATGATGGTGAGTTTTCAGGAGATTTGGTTGCTAAAAAGTGTGTAGCATCGGTCCTCTCTCTCTCTCTCTTGCCCCTACTCCCACTGTGTGAGATGCCCCGCTAACCCTTTGCCTTCTGCCATAATTGGAAGCTTCCTGAGGCCTCCCCAGAAGCAGAAGCCACTATGCTTCCTTTATAGCCTGCAAAACCACGAGCCAATTAAATACGTTTTCTTTATAAATTACCCAGTCTCAGGTATTTCTTTAGAGTGGTGCGAGAATGAACTAATACAGCTAGTGATGCTGGGATTGCAAGGGAGCGGTAGGCCAGAACTGCTGAATCCAGAAAGAAATAGAGAAATTAAAGAACAAAGTCCCCTGGCCCGCAGGGAAACCCAGTGGAATGCTATCAATTCCAAATAACCATGCTCCTGTACACTCTCAGGCACTTAACCATTTTCACATCCCAAAAATCTTATTGGAAGTAGACTAGTTAAGTCTCATTATCTTCATTCTACAGATGCAAAGTAAAGTTTGGAGAGTTTAAATGACTTGGCTGTCATCACACAGGTTGAAGATGGCAAATTTTGGCCTCATTCCAAGTCTTTTGATTCCTAGTCTGTAATTTTTCTCCATACTACACTGCCTCTATATTAGAGCTGAAAAGATTATTCCAGAAATATCTCTGGTGGAGTGCAGAGGGTCTTCAACCTGAATCAAAGGAGATTGGGGAAATATAGACAGCTATTTCTTTTCTTTTTAAAGAGAAATCCTCAAACTTACATGAAAGTAGAGAACTGGTATAATAATCTTCTGTATACCCATCACCCAACTCCAGCACCTCTCAGCAACCCACAGTTTCACTGGAGGCCTAGGGAGGGAACCAGTGGTGCTCAGGTAGAAAGGACCCAGCTTTTCCAAGACATAATGGAGCTCATGGTGGAAGAAGTCTTCAAGGGTCAGAGTGACTTGAAAGAGAAGAAAACTAGATATATCTGGAATAGACTGTGATTTAAACCTAAGTCTAGCTAAACCAAATAGTATGTTGTACCCAATGTGTATCATTCATGTGTGAATTCCAGGATTTCCTCATACACAAGCTGACACTTCAAAAAATAGCCCACAATGTCTATAGTATTGTAGGGCCACAGAGAGCATTGTGGCATTTATTACATGTGAAAATAAGAAAGGCCATGCCACATCACGCCTAACTTTTCCAAAGCTCCAGTAACATCCCATAGTTACCACTCCACTCCACTTTACCTCAATCTTCTACTTGGAAAACAACTTTCTATGTTTTATTTCTAAAATCTTTACTAGTAAAATGTGAAAACTAAACAATATCAAGAAAACGTCAATATTAATTAAAGAAGTTAGTTTCATTACCTACAATGATTTTTTTAAATAAAGAATTTATGCAAACTTCATTTCTTACCGATACTTTGTTTTCTTGCTGTGTATCTGACTCTAAACTTCCAGACGTCATGCTGAAATAAAGTAAAAGTTTAGAATTCCAAAATTTTATTTCAGGCACTCATGTGCGCACACACACCCCCGCACCTACATTGAATAGATCATTACACTGTAACATTTAAAGTAAATTTTCTAAAGTATTTCCTCCAAATGTCAATTTCTGGACATTTCTAAAGGAAATAAAAATAGTGGAATGTAAACTTTACTCGCAGAAGATAAAATAGCCTTTAAAGGTTCTCTTGAGAATAAGTACTCTGAACAGTACAATCTGTTCTGAAAACCTGAAAAATCTGGTATTTCAACTGAAAAAAAAAAAAGTGGGGAGAAGAAAGCATAACCTCATAAGAATCAGCAGACGTGGAGAATTCTTTGTCTCCTACACTGTTCTCTCTCTCTCTTCTCTCTCTCTCTGTCTCCTGGATCATTTCCATTAGCTTATAAACATGTTGTTATTTATCATGCCTAGAGCCTTCTTACTGCTTTAGTTTCCACTTGATTATACTAACCTCTTTTGCTTTTCAGGTTACAGAAAAACGATATTCCCACTGTCTCCAATCCCTCCCCTTCTATTTTTCTTTCTTTTTTTCTAAAGCCACTGTAGTTAGACTAGTGCCACTACTAGTACCACTCCACAGAAACTGCACTTGTCCAATTCACTAAAGATCTCTGCATTCTTATACCCAGTGATTATTTTTCACAACTCACCTTAACATCTTTTGACATGACTCATTCTCTCTTTGAAATACTTTCTTCACTCAGTTCCCAGTACATCCCAGGGCCCTGGAATATTTTTCTCTAAGTCTATCCACTTGGCTTACTCTTCCTTCCTTCTTGTCTTTTCTCAAATGTCACCACTTCAGTGGGACCTACCATATGTATCTTATTTAAAATTTAACCCCTCACCTCATCACCATACTCTTTTCTCTGTGATACTTATCACATTCTAACATGCTATATAGTTTGCTTATTTATTATATTTTTTATGTCATCTCCCAACTGAAAATGTAAACTCCTTGAAGAGAGGAAATTTTTTCTGTTCTTTTTGTTACTCTACCCTCAGCCTCTTGAAGAAGGATAGGATGGTCAACAAATATTTGTTCAATAAATAAATGAATTATCTAATAAATCTCATAGATTTAATAGATTCCTTTCTGTTGTTGCCAATCAATAAAGCCTTACTTTTTTTTTTTTTCCCCCTGAGATGGAGTCTTGCTCTGTCACTCAGGCTGGAGTGCAATGGCACAATCTTGGCTCACTGTCTCCGCTTCCCGGATTCAAGTGTTCCTCATGCCTCAGCCTCCCGAGTAGCTGAGACTACAGGCACCCACCACCATGCCTAGCTAATTTTTGTATTTTTGGTAGAGACAGGGTTTCACCATGTTGGCCAGGATGGTCTTGATCTCTTGACCTCCTGATCCGCCCACCTTGGCCTCCCAAAGTGCTGGGATTACAGGCGTGAGCCACCGCGCCCAGCCAATAAAGCCTTACTTTTAAATTCCAAGGTACTTTTATTATTCTTATCCCACTATCTTCCTCATGAATATATAGTTTTATTTCCATATGTCTGTGCACATTTCTCTCTTTTACTTACTTTCAAAAAATTTGAAATCATTTACAAATGTTCATAAAGTAATCAGTGACTACTGAATAAAATTAATTAAGTTCTCACTTACTGGAAGGAGACACTGGGGCTCTAAGAGATGTAATTGCTTTTCTCACATGACACCCAGATCAGCAAAAAAAACAGTATTTTGGTACTTTCTACTTGACAACACCTCTTTATCATGAAATGGAAAACAAACTCTTGGTCATCACAGTTGCTGGACAAACCAACAAATGGCTTTAAAGGATCTTAATAAACTGAGCCCTCTAACAAATTTTATCTTCTATCAGTGAAACTCACGAAACGGAGGTTTTCCCTCAACTGAACGGCCTAATAGTCCAGAGTGTGTGTTTATCCTTTTCTTAGTTGTTTCCTCCGGCCAGAACACTCACACTCTCTTCTCTGCTTGTTGAAATCTTACCTGTCTTCACACCATAACTCAAATGCTGCCTCTCCCTGAAGGCCTTCTGACCCTACCGGTCAGAAGTATTTCTTGCCTTTATATTGCACAAGCAGGTTTTGGGCATCCACCTCTTGCAGCCCTTATTATGGTTCATGATGTATGTGACTATTTCTCTACCTGTGTTTTGCATTTCTCAGTAACACCCTCATAGGGGACAAAGGCTGTGCTTCGTGTATTTTTTATGCTGGGCAAGAAAGTCATTTTCAGTCACTGAGTGAAACCAAACAAAACAAAATATGTGAGTGCAATATCCTTATGTGCATACTCAGATGTGCCACAAATGCATCACAGAAAGTACAATTTGAGACTACTTTTAAAAAATAATGCCTGAAACAAAACTGGTGATTTAAAAATGAGAGCTTTGGCTGCCTGACAATTATATTTAAAGGTCATGAGTCATGGCCTCAGAGTAACCGTGGTAACCCACATACACAGGAGAAGTCATGTTGTACAATAATTAAGGGGGGAAGAAAGCTTTAGAAAGCCTATTAGCTTTGAGATAAAGACAACATATAATTAATAAATGTGTTTATGAAGTTTGTTTTTTATTGCATTGTTTTCTTACTTCAGGGTTTACTGGAAACCTGGAAAAACTTCTTTAAATTTCTACTGGCAGGGAGTAATGAGATGACATAATCAACCTTGCATAGTTTTTTTCTCAGTGTGTTATAAGAACATTGAAATTTCCTCCTTTAAATGAATGTCTTATATCTGGTTTCTCAACTTTTTACTTCATGCTTTTTATGTCAAATTGGAGGATTAATTAGTCACCAATTACTCTGGGTGAATAAAGGATTTTAATAAAATTGGTGAGGAAATACAGCTATTGAGCACTTAATTTTTATAAGAGAAGATTTCCTGGGAAAATTCTGTTTTGTTCCTTAGATTAATTACATCCAGGGCCTAACTCTCCCTTACTTAGACAAAGTAGGAGCAAGTTTCCATTCATTTTATGTAAACTGTGGAGAAGGTCTGTTTCGAGGGCATGAGAAGAGAAAAGGGGAAGGAAAAGGAGAAGGAAAGGCAAACAAGACACACGAGACCAGTTTGTTCCTGCTTAGAAGTGAAGAAGCTGAACTGAAGTCACCTACAGATCAACAAGAATAGTGTGACACTCCCCTGCCTCCTACCTCAAAAGCCCAGCTTTCTACCTGCACAGAACACTCAACTCCACACACCAGGAGTAAAAAACACTAACAATAATTTACAGAGAGAGCAAAGTCCTGCTTTTCACTTGGTTTTTCTGCTGAATGTATACTGGGCTATTCATTTGAAAGTTGTTCATCACAGGGCATTTTCCCTCCATTTGGTAACTTTATGTTCAACTCTCCAATTGCCTACATATTGATACGTTATCTCTTCAGCTGCTTTGTTCTGGGAAATTAAAAGAAAATGAGTGTTTGCTAAATTTCATTAGCTTTAATAAATGGAAAAAGCCTTACTCCCTCCCATAGATTATTTAATTTTTGAGGCTTATGGAATCCTTTGCACAAATAAACAACATTTTACGTAAAATCTTAGATTTGTGAGTTTCTCACATCATCCACAGACCATAGACCCAAGGTGAAAAGCAAATAAAAACAAGGCTCGCACATTCACATAAGGAAAACATGTTTTAAAACTTAACAAAGCAGGCCAGGCACAGTGGCTCATGCCTATCATCCCAGCACTTTGGGAGGCCAAGGTGGGCAGATCACCTGAGGTCAGGAGCTCAAGACCAGCCTGGCCAACATGGTGAAACCCTGTCTCTACAAAAATACAAAAATTAGCCAGGTATGATGGCAGATGCCTATAATCCCAGCTACTCGGGAGGCTGAAGTGGGAGAATCGCTTGAACCCGGGAGGCAGAAGTTGCAGCGAGCCAAGATTGCTCCATTGCACTCCAGCCTGGACAACAGAGTGAGACTCTGTTTCAAAAACAAACGAAAACTTAAAACCAGAACCATGGTTGCATGTGAACATCCCACAAGGATACTGCCTTATAGGATGTAACTCCTGCTACAGAGATGTGGTCAACTCTCACTCAAGATTTAAAAGGAAATTGTAAATGGAAGATATTTCCACATTTGAAAGGGAAATGAGTATGTGTCAACTTGCAAAATTTCTAGTAATTAAATGCAGATCAATTAGAGAAGTGAACTGTACTTCCATATTTCTAGCCAGCATTGATCTAGATTTTTATGTGGGGAACCTGTAGAGGAGGAATGACCCAGCTTTTTGTGTGTGCATCTCTTGGCAAGAGGGTAGTGAAGATGACATTTCATTTCAACTGTAAGAAGGCTGGCTTCAAACCTTCCCCCTTCCCACATCAGTAAAATGGCTGTGGTGGGTGAGTGTGTGATTTTTAGAAGACCAAGTAAGGGACAATTTATTTGTTCAACAAATATTTATTGAACTCCTACTGTGTGTCAGGCCATGCCCTATGATCTGGGAAGACGGCAGCTTTCAAAGAAAGGGGTCACTCTCCAGGAAAGGATAAAAAACTGTCTGTTGTTATTCCCCAGACTTTAAAGAAAGATTTTCTTTGAAGTACTAAGTGAAAGCTACTTTATCCAGGAATTCCCATTAATTATTTTGGGATGAGAGGAGCTGGGAACTCACCTGCTTCTCTCTGGGCTGTCAGACTCTGGGACCACAGATTTCTTGCTATAGCATTGTCCCATCTCAAGCCAGGCCCACTGGGATCCCTTATCCCTGGGACAGACGTCAACAGGCATCATTCCTTAGAGTTTTAGAATCCCTGCTATTGCTCTGCTGTCCCTTGTTGCTAGGCTACCACAATGGCTGTGGAAAAGACAGTTAATTTCCCAAAGAAAAAAATCTCGGTTACAAAGCCACAGTAACCTCTCAAAACATCTCACAAATCAGATCCAGGCATGAGAATAGGTGAAGAATCACCACATAGTCATCATTTCTGTAAAACTCATTCAAAGTGGAACAGAAACAGTGGTTTTGTGCTCAAACCAAGGCATGTTTACATCCAGAACCAATGCTAAGGAAACAGCCACACTGCTGTCTGAGAGGGGTGCACACCCAGAAATGCATTGGTTTACAGGCAATCAGTGATTTCATCACAAACCAACCCCTTATTGTGATGATCTGCTTTCCCTGGGACCCACCGGCCACAGACAGAAGACCCCACCTGGCCATATTCTCATGAAAGCTTCTTTCCTAACACAGGATTGTACAAGTGATTCATTGTGCCTGAGTAGCTGGTATTTTGCTCATTGTTCACCTGCAGCCGCTGCTCCAACTTCCCTGTCCAAAGACACCACCTACTTTCTCCCAGCCAGTTGCTGCATCTCTCCCTGGATGCCTTTGTAGACCAGGTGAACCTGTATCCACTTCACTTTCTGCTCTGACAGGAAGTACATGTAGGATCCCTGCAGTCGACAGCTAAGAATCACTCCTGGATTTTGGTCTGTATGTGCTGGAGTCACCCAACCTAGTCACAGTGTTCATCCTAAAATAAATTGGATTGGCATGACAGCAATGTTTCTAATCACAGAATTTGTTTCTAGGGTTAGAGCATTATAGAGCAAGTAACTACAATAGTAACAGGAATGAATATTAAGACTTATCTATTCAAGAGTATAATTAGCATTTACTTCTTCAACAAAACTTCAAGTGACCCAGCTCCTCAGTAAAACAACTCTATGAATAAAATTAGGAACTATTGAGCAGTTGTTGTGCTGGATAGAAAAGCCAACACTAAATGGGTAGTTGTGGAAAGACAAGGATTGGGCAATTGGCCTAGCATGTAGTTAGCAGCCTGTTGGGGATCAGAAATCATCTTACCTCTCTATGCTTTGGATTTGTTACTTTAAGAAAGAACCAAATTAACCAGGCGTGGTGGTGGGCGCCTGTAGTCCCAGCTACTCGGAAGGCTAAGGCAGGAGAATGGCATGAATCTGGGAGGTGGAGCTTGTAATGAGCCGAGATTGCGCCACTGCACTCCAGCCTGGGCAATAGAACGATACTCTATCTCAAAAAGAAAAAAAAGAAAGAACCACTTGAACTATTTCTGTCATCCCTTCCAACTCTAACATTTTGTTCTGTTTCTTTAGCTCATCTCATTAAAAAAAAAAAGACAAAAACCACAGACCCACAGAGTAGACTACACTTTAGTGCATTTTAGAGGAAATGTCCAGATGTTCACCGTGTAGTTGCAGTCATAATATTTTATAAAAGAAAAGTCATTTCAATAATGGCTGGTGAAAGGCACTGTAGGCACTAATTATTTGTAATGGTTATTAATCTTATCATGCATCTAGCTGATCAAAAAGGGAGGTGGAGAGATATGGCTAGTACAAAAGCAGACTTTCAAAAAGTCCTTGAAAAACAAAGTGACTCTTCCATTCCCATTTCTCCTTTAAAAAATACTGCATGGGAGGATTTCAGAAAGTGGTGGTGAGGAAATTGGCTGGGTCGTTAAAGGCATATTGACCTACAGAACTCTAAACATGCTAACTAACAAAATTAATGGTATTGTTCTTTTATAATTAAGGAAAAGTACTTATGAAAGTCACTCAAATGATTTTATTTTAAAAAGTTGAGTTGTAGTTTAGAAAAACTACATTTTCCCCCTCTAAATGTAAAGAAAACAAGGAGGTATTATAACAAAACTTCTAGAAATACATATAAATCATTGACACTTCCACCATTAACATTGTTTTAAATCGAAAAAATGCTGTAAGCTCATTGGGGATCTTATAGATTATTATGTACAATTTAAAAACTTACCTTGTAGCCTATCAAAAATATATCTTTTCTTAGAATCAGAAATCATATAATGCTTATATAACAAGGAAGAATCTTAAGAATATGCATATTTTATATGTTCCACAGCTAGTGCTTATCAGGATGTCTTATCTAACTTAGGTGAGTAAATATCAATAGGATCAGAAAGGAGAATGGAAGGGAGAACATTGCAATGAGAAAAGGGCAAGACAGAAGAGATAATAGATTTATAATGAATTGGTGTGACTGAGGAGAGCAGAGAAAACTGCAGTGGTCTTCAGAGTCTCTGCTTAGAAAATAGCCCTTCAGCTTCATCTGTCCGCTCACTCCTTTGTTTGTGTGTTTATTTGTTTATTCACCAAATATTTATTGAAAACTCACATTGTGCTAGGCAAGGTGCTCAGCACGAATGAAATCGATGCTGTTCCTGCCCTCATGGAGCTCATTATTCTATCACGCTATCATTCTAGTAGCCACTAACGTCTTATTAGAAAAAATTAACGAAGCACGTTTGGGATTCCCAAAAAGCTCTTCTAACTTAACAGATCCCAAGCACTGAAAAAATAAAAAAATAAGTAAATAGAAGCAAACAGGGTCACTTCGTAGGTTTTCCTCCTGAGGAGGTAGAATCTTGTAGAGAAAGATGACCGCCCTTCCCAAAGTTAAGCTGGGAAAGTTCACTGTGTTCTCGTTGTGATGAACACGTGGTGACTGTGCTCATGTCTGCGAGTCTAGGTGAGTGTGTCTGTGCTAGGGGAGGACAAGAGGAAGGGCGAAAGTGACAGAGAAACCAAAGGAACAGCACACAAACAAGTACAGGTCAGGCCATGAGCAACAATAGCCAAAAAGTCTTTCAACTGATTGCAAAGGCTTTCCTCTGTTTCTCTTAAGAATTAGCCAGGTCGCTTGTCATTGTTTTTCTGACCTCTTCCCTGTGTGGCTGATTGCTTGACACAGTGGGTCTAATTATCTCCAGACTCCCAGCCTGTTTTAATGAAGAGGGATGTTTATCTGTATAAGCAGACAGACTTGTCTGTCCCCTTGGTCCTAAAGTTTTTTCTTGGGAAACCTAGGGATGAAACTGACAGCTGTTAATGGATCAGCCAGAATGTAAACTTTTCATTTCTGGCTTGTTTGCGGCAAGAAATAAACATTTCTTCTCCCTCCTTACTGTGCTTTACTGCATTGAGCACTTGTCATTTGGAGATTCCTAGCAGTATTTGATTTTCCTGTAAGAATGGCCTCTCTCCTCTCATAGTTGGTTTTGGACTGACAGTAAATTCAGTTCCCTAGCCCCTGCCAAATAACCTTTGGTGGTGCAGACCCTGTCCAGACAAAGGACTACACAGCGTTGAACTTGGCTCATCAGCAACTGGATCCTGGGTCTTTGAATCTCAAACAGTTAACATAAGAAGGAAAGAAACAGTTGAAGTTCTAGTTATCTGTTTTCTAATTTATCCCACAAATATTTATTAAGGCTCAGTTTTGCCACAGACACTGTTCTGGATGCTTATATGACAGTGATAAGCAGGACAAAGTTGCTGCTCTCATGAATTTCATACCGTAGTTGGTAAAGGGCAATCAAACAAACACAGAAGATAATTACAGACAGACACAAGTGCTATCGAGAAAATAAAACGATGTCATAAGACTAGGACCAGGAGGTGGCATAGAGCAGAGATGTGAAAGATGAGAAGAAACCAACTTTGGGGCGCTTGCAGGGAAAAGTGTTGCAGCCAGTGATTCAGTCCTGTCATCACAGAAACATGCTCAAGTAGCACCATTTAAAGACAAACAAACCTCCCTTGACCTCATCTCTTTCTGTGCTCCCTTTCGTGAAAAATTCTTCAGAAGAGTGGCTTATTTTTCCATTCTCTCTTCAATCTCCTCCAATCGAATATTCATAGACTCTTCTGAAACAGCTGTCATTTGGTCACTGCCAACCTCTATCTTGTCCTTAAACAGCAGCATTCTGACCTAAATTTTCCTGTTATAAGTCTTGCTTCTTAGTCTCTGGAGTGGTCTTGGTTTCTGCTTATTTCTAAACCTAACTCAGCCTTCTCCTGATTCCATGAGCCCCAGTATGCCAACAATCAATTCCTTTTTTCTCTTCTAGCCAGAATTGCTTCCTGTTACTTCCTACGAGTAAATGCCTAGTTCACACACTTAAATTTTTCATATTATTCTTGATTTTTACCCAGGAAACAATTGCTCAACTTACAACACAATCTCTATTCATTCTTTTACTTATATACACTGTTTTCCTTAAAATGTTACTACTGTGTTGGTGAGTACCGAATTATGGTTTTCCAAGGATTGATTTACTTTTCTTTATAACATTCACTTCTTGAGAGTAGGTCACTTATTTGGAAACATTGATCATTGTCTCGTGCCTATCACAATGCAAGCCATTAGAGATAGGCATGGTTCAAAACAGCCATGGTTTCAAGACATATTTGTTAGACTGCTATCCTCACCAAGAAATGTCTTCCAGGTTGTTTCTGCTGTCAGAATGTTTTAAAATATTCTTCATGTCTTTTCTAATGCTTTGCTACTCTAGGTTTTGTGGAATCCAGGTTCTTTATGTCCCTAGTTATGTCTCCAATAACATTTCTTAGAAATTTATTAGCTGTAAAATTAAATATAATTTATCTAAATATTTCATTTAAAAATCATTTTCATGTACTTTCAATAAAGAATCTTGTCTCAAATAAGTAAAAACAAACAAGACAGTAGGGAATCCTAAGAAGACATTTCTCAAAAATCATCTTCCAGGATTTTCTCATGGCTTTTTGTCAAATGGATGAAGATGTTTTGATGGCTATTGTACTGTGAAGGATGTTTTCAGCTACAAGTAACAGAAAAGGTGACTAATGGTAGTTAACTTATATGGGAATTTGCTGGCTTATGTGACTAGAAAGTCCAGAAGTTAAAGGTACTTCAAGGTTAATCATTGATATTATCAGCGTGTGGTATCTTTCCATAAACAGTGTGGCTTCTTCTGAGGGCTGGCTTTCCTTGTGGGCATGGAGTGGCTGCCAGAAGAACTGGGACTACAGATGACTTTGTTCATGGCCAGAGATAAAGACAGAGTTGCTTTCCATGACCTTAGAACAGAAGTCCTATGTTTTATTCTAATTGACTGATCCTAAATAGGTGATCACTACGACTGAGGACATGTTGACTGGCTTCCATTTGAAATATATACCCACCCCAAACCAATCACTGTGACAATGAGAAAGGATCCATCAGA